AAGTTTATTAAAGATATTTAAGAACGAGTAACTCAAGTATTTATTGTTAAGGTAACTTAACTAAGGTAACAAACTGATAAATCCTGGTTCGAAACACTGGACGAGGACGCAGAGATCAATTTAGAGAAAGAGGAACCTGAATGCATTGCAGCCACAGAGAAGGAAGTTCGATTCCACGAGGCTCGAATATCAGAGAAACTAAACTTTCTCAGATTTTAATTCGCTGAATACAAACACGGCTTCCATCAGCAATAAAAGCGCCTAAATGAATGTGTTAACCTCAACATACGTGTGACAAAATAAGTTGACTGAAACTTCTGTCACGAATCTGATGACAAATTTTGATATTTGAGAGGTTTTAGTGTTGTTTGATACGCAGCCCCCACAGCCACAGGATGGTTTGGAGGAGCAGTTCCTCCCTAACATCTTCTCTGGCTGGAGGAACTGAAGCTACATGAAGCTCCGGACGTTAAAACGGTTCAGAGTTCAGTTAATGTGCATCCAGCTGCTCAAACCTCCAACATTTCTACTGACATTGGGAGAAACTGCTTTGATTCGACGGCTCCTGGTCTTCAGTGATCAATGTAGTTCCTGTACGATGGTCTGTGGCTCTTGTTAGCATTATCATTAGCAGAGGCTTCCTGTCTGGGCTCAGTGGGCGGAGTCAGACTGCCTCTGCAGACGCCGCTCTGCTGCTGCTGCTAATGTTTCTCGTCGCAGGGTCATGGTGTCGAAGGTCAACGCGCTGCCATCCGAGGACCTGGTGCTCCTGGTCAGGTAGTCCCTGCAGAGGAGGTCCAGAGGTAAAGGGCTCTGTTAGGTACATATTTGCTAAATATGATTTAATAGCTGTCTCTGTTAGTGCTTTCCAACACATCACCCAACTCTGGGTTGCGGTGCGAATAATAAATCCTTTAACTTCACCGGAACGTAGGGATGATAAAAACAGCAGGTTTCAGGTCGGAGCATGACCGTGCTATGCTGAAAAACAAACCATGAGACAGAGGCGCGATGTACAACAACACGGCAGAGGGGAGAGCATGACACCATGTGACCTCCGGTGCTCTTATATTACTGAGAACAGCCCCTATTATATATCAGAGTTGAGCCTGCATAACTGATTATGCTCTTGTCTTGTATTTCTTATTAATCCTTTTTTTAGATCCATCTAATCTAAAATCTTATGAACAATTATTCTCTGGATTAACTATTAGACGCTCTCTTTAATCTAACCTTCCTTCTCTGTTGCTTCCAAATATTCCATTTTCCCCTTTCTCTAAATTATCTCTCTCCCTTCCCCATTTTTTTCCTAACCCCATATTATCATTTTTACCCCTTATTTAAGTTACCCCTTAACCCAATAATACTTTATTATCTTTCCTTAAATATCCTTTAAATAACTTTTAGTTTTTCATTTTATTTGAATTAACTCATCATTTTTTACCATTTTTTATTTCTTAAATTTTACTTTCACTTTAAATTATCAATCTCATTGTCTTTGTGTATTTTACCTGTTTTATCTTCTAACTATACAGTAAGCCCCAAGGTGATAAAATATCGTATCAATCATTTTAGGTATTCCATGGAATATTATTAGTCACCAATCCCCTTGTCCATTTTTTATGGTTCCCTCTCTGTTTTTTGTCGTTAATTCCTGTTAGTATTCACCAAGATGGCTTCACCGCCTCCTATATTTGATTTACTTCTCCGTGGACTGTCGTCCTGTGTTTCTGATTTATTCACTCCATTATTTCATGCCTACCTTATTAAGAGATGACCCGTGCGAAACGAAACCGCTCTTCAATTAAATAATTAACCTAATACGAGAGTACTGTCTCATTTTTTGTCCTTTGTTGTTTAAATGTTTTTAATTTTTTTTCACCTTAGCAGCCATAACATAATTGTTCTTAGCGGTCCGCCGTTGTCTTCTTGGCTGGATGTCACCTCTTAGTTCTTTTGAAAATTGCTGTTCGTCCGACTTTCATATTCCACTATATGTAGAGCAACCAGCAAACATGGAATTAACCGCCCTGTTCCCAGTATTTTTTAAATCTGTTTGCCGTACATAATATACATCAACGCAAATAAAGAAAATTGTTATCAATTTAATCGAACATGTTCTCTCTCTTCTTGTTTACATTGTTTTTTTTTTTTATCCTACATTTTAAAAATTAATTTCAACGAACGACTTATTGTCTTTTGCTGTCTTCATATTCCCGTTATTTATCTCC